AGTCCAGCTAGCATGGACAAGTTGGACCAAAGGGTCTGTTTCCATGCTCTATCCCTCTATGACTTTATAACCAGCAGGTTGAGAGGAATCCTGAGGAATCTCCTTTTGACCCTTCCATCACCTTTCAATGTTTCAGAGTGCATGTAGACTGTTAGGTTGCCCTGAAATTCATGAGCACTTCCAGGACAGCGCTGAACCCATGAAAAGCATTCCTTTGAGTAACTTTTCTCATCAAATCAAGACACAATGAGGCAGAGTAGACATTTGGATTGTCCATTTTACATCTCCCAGAATGGAACAGTTATTCATTCACTTGAAAATGTGAATCGTAGAATAAACTTTCCCCTGCAGCGATGTGTGAAATCATCAGTGATTCCATATACCCATTCATAACATAGGGTTAAGCATAAAATTATGTGTGCAGGCCAGGACCTATTAAATTTCCTGCACGTTGTGCTTTGCCTCAGTGTTGTCCACATTAAGGTGCAATGTTCGTGGCTGCAGGCATCAATGTCATGTTTTCAAGGATCCCTAATGTTTGAGGCTCTCTGCAATCATGGTGTTAGTTGCTCCTAAGAGATGAGCAATGCTTGGAGATTGTAACTTCTTTCATTTTTGAGATGTCTGACAAGTTGCTCCCCTTTCACTTGGATATGGCTTATCCAGGTCCAATAGTGAAAATCATACAACAGTAAACATCTTAACAATGCAAGTGAACATATATTTACAAAGTGAAAGGTTATTTACAAATGTTTCATGTATGCCAACTTTGTTCCTTCATGGGTTTTTGTTCTTCCTCTGCCTATGTCGAACAGTCTCAACCCAGGGTGGAGGAAGCCTGTTCTGTGGTTAGTCCTGTTAGCTTGGAAGACTTGGGCAGTTGTCCCCTGATGTCTTTGGATCTAGAGGATTCAGGCCTGCTGACAGTCTCCTGCACAGATGCAGGCTCACCCTCCTCTGCTTGAACTGCTGCAGGCTTTGATGTCAGGGCCAAGGGGAGGTGTTGGAGCTTGGCACCTCTGGAATATCATGAGAAGAAGCTTCTGGGCCTAGCATGTTGCTCCTCCTCCTTCTGGTTAGATGGTGGAAGGTATACCAGGGTTGAGAAAGAAGTCCCTTAAACCCCTCTTGCTTTGGCATTGATACTATAACTAGGATGAATCAGTTCAAGTCCATGTACATATCTGGCAAACACACTGAGTGTGCTGAACCTGGCTGTCCACCAGACTGATCTTGGAGACACCCAGATATATGTATGCCAGAGACCCAGCACAATACTGATAAAATCAGTGGTGGACTCCTTCCTTAGATCCAGCTTACCGAGTGCCTCTGATAAATTTGCTTGATGTTCCTGTGCCTGTCGGTGCATTGACAAGATTATTAATGGATGTGAATGTGGGATTGTTTTGTGCCTGGGGTTAAACAGGCGCTTAATCTCCAGCAGTCTTCTGAGTGCCACAGACCTGAGGTATTTCTTCATTGACCAGCTGCAGAGACACATTAGTGAAGTGATCACCAGAATAAGCTCCTTTCTGCACTGCTGGCATCCTGCTTCACCAGAACACAGCACTAACCCGGGCTCCTGTGCCAGTCAACTGGGAAAAGGACTGCCTCTTTCCATCACTACATCCACCAAGATATTCAGCTTCCTATTCACAAAGTGGGGAACAAACTTTCCTTCCCTCTGGATCATCTACAGAATGTAGACATTCAAGTACAACAGCATTCCTGACTTGCATTACACGACACCAGGTTATAGTCAAAGTGTGAGTGGAGTGTTGGTTAAAATGTTTCTGCAGGTGACCAAGAGTGTTAGATGGTGAAAAAAGTGTCAACAGCTGAACAACCAGCAAAGGGATTACCTATAATCTGGTTAAATGAAGCAGAGAGCTGAGGGCTCAATTTCTGCCCTGCTACCAAAATGGACCCCATTGGTCTCGTGACAGACGCAGAGGAATTCATCTGGCGAATGAAGCTCCGGGAATTCTTCCATGAACCCCAAGATGTCAGCAGCGAGCCTAATGAGACAACCAACGAACCGGAACAATTAACTGTGAGATCTGTGGTGCAGCAACTAAAGAAGAAGGAGTCAAATTGGACCTTTCCGGAAGGCCACTGCCCTAGGCTCAACATGTATGCTCAAGCCATCAAAAGATGCATTAATGCCAGATTCATCAGCCGTGCTCACAAGATAGCGCAGAACATCACCCAAGCACAATGCAATGCCATCCATGCTCTCAAGACCAATCACAACGTTGTCATCAAACCAGCAGACAAAGGAGGAGCCATTGTCATACAGAATAGAATGGACTTCTGCAAAGAAGCATACCGACAACTGAACAACCAGGAACACGACAGACAAATACCTGCTGATCCAACCAAAGAAATTAGTCGTCAACTCAACAGACTGATCAAGATTTTTGATCCAGACCTTCAGAATATCCTATGCACTCTCATCCCACATACTTCTCACGTAGGAGACTTCTACTGTCTTCCGAAGATACACAAAGCCAACACACTTGAACATCCCATCATATCAGGCAATTGGACCCTGTGTAAGAATCTCTCTGACTATGTCGAGGGCATCTTGAAATCCATTGTACAAGGAATGCCCAGCTTCTGTCATGACATTACACATTTCTTACAGAAACTCAGCACCCACAGACCAGTCAAACCAGGAACATTCCTCGTCACAATGGACATTTCAGCACTCTACACCAGCATCCTCCACGACGACAGCATCGTTGCAACAACCTCAGTACTCAATACCAACAACTGCCAATTTCCAGATGCTATTCTACAACTCATCCGCTTCATCCTTGACCACAACATCTTCACCTTCAACAACCAGTTCTTCATCCAGACACATGGAACAAACATGGGGACCAACCCAAATATGCCAACATTTTCATGCACAAGTTCAAGTAAGACTTTGTTGCTGCACAGGACCTCTGACCAACACTATACACCAGATACTTAAACAGCATTTTCTTCCTTTGGACTCATGGTGAGGAATCACTAAAACAACTACATAGCGATATCAACAAGTTTCATCCTACCATCAGACTTACCATGGACTACTCTTTAGAAATGGTCTCATTCTTGGATATACGCATTTCCATCAAAGACAGACATTTCAGTACCTCACTCTACGCAAGCCCATGGATAACCTCACGATGTTGCATTTCTCTAGCTTCCACACTAAACATATTGAAGAAACCATCCCCTAAGGACAAGCCTTGCACATACACAGGATCTGCTCAGATGAGGAGGAACGCAACCGACACCTAAAAATTTTGAAGGACACCCTCATAAGGATGGTTTACGATGCTCAACTCATTGATCAGTTCCGACAAGCCACAGCAAAATACCGCAATGACCTCCTCAGAAGACAGACACAGGATACAACCAATATAGTACTCTTCATCATCCAGTACTTCCCCGGAGGAGAGAAACTACGCCATGGTCTTCACAGCCTTCTTCAGCATGTCATCGATGATGATGAGCATCTCGCCAAGATCTTCTCTACGCATCCACTTCTTGCTTTCAAACAACCGCCAAACCTAAAACAGACCGTTGTTCGTTGCAAACTACCCAACCTTCAGGACAACCCTGTCATAGCAACCTCTATAAGACATGGCAGATCATCGACATGGATACTACCATCACACATGGGAACACCACCCACCACGTACACAGCAGATACTCATGTGACTCGGCCAATGTTGTCTATCTTACACGCTGTGGGCAAGGATGCCCCGAGGCGTGGTATATTGGCAAGACCATGCAGATACTATGACAATGGATGAATGGAAACCGCATAACAATTGCCAGACAAGAATGTTCCCTCCCAGTCATGAAACACTTCAGCAGTCAAGGGCATTCAGCCTCTGATCTTCAGAAAAGCGTCCTCCAAAGTGGACTTCGAGTTACACAATAATGCACAATCGCCAAGCAGAGACTGATAGCCAAGTTCCATACCTATGAAGATGGCATCAACCATGATCTTAGGTTCATGTTGTGCTCTACATGTGACTCCATCACACTGTTCTGTATCTGTAAAATCTTCCTTATTGTCCTTTTCTGACACCATCACCTTGATAAATTGTTATGATCTCTCTACCTTAATTAGTTTGTACAGTTTTGAATTACTTATTACTTTGGTTAAACCCTTGGATGCGACTCTAATACCTATCATTTTATTCCAGTCATTTAGTATGTCTCCAGCACCACGTTATTTTTAATTTTTTTGTGATTATCTCTCTGCCTCATTTAATCGGACTATGGGTCACCCCTTCACTTGTTATTCAGCTGTTGACACTTTACTCACCATCTAACACCCTTGGTCACCTGCAGACACTTTTTGTCTGACACTCCACTCACACTAGCTGTGTGGTCTTTTGATCTCTCAGTCCTTGATCTCTCTGCCTGTAAACTCTGTGTCGGTGTGCTCTTCCCTCTCACTGCACCTGACAAAGGGGCTGTGCTCCAAAAGCTTGTGATTTCAAATAAACCTGTTGGATTATAACCTGATGTCGTGTGACTTCTGACTTTATCCATGCCAGTTTAACACCAGCACCTCCACATCATTCCTGACTTGCAGCATCTGAAGTGGTGCAACTGATCATTAAATACAGCATCAACAGCATGTATGCCTGAAGGTCCTGGCAGTGGTGAGTATTTTCAGAATTTCACAGAAGCACAATTCCCTGAGTACTTGCACAAGAGCATGGTTTAATAATTAATGAGGCAAAGAGCAGGAGATAAGCCATGGCAGACCGGTCACCATGAATCTTACTAGACAAAATACTTTAACAAAAAGGGGAAATTTCACAGAATTCAAATTTACATGGTACTAGGTGGGAGGGTATGTTAAGTGATTAAAAACTTCAAAAAAGTTAAGAATTATGAATAAATCCGCAATATTTTAATGTCTATAATACTTTGTCATATAAAAATGTCTTATTGATAGATGACATCCAAAGTAAAAAATGGTATACTTAGTATTCTGGCAAATCCAAAGTCACAGAGCTTAATGACTCCCTGTCTAGTAATTAGAATGTTTTCTGGCTTGACATCTCTGTGAATACACTGGAAGAGAAATATCAAATTAAAAATAAAAATCTAGTTAGTTTTCTTTACACAAAACATTAATGCAAGGATGTAAATACCCATGTTATCACATTTCTTAACTTGAGTAGATCCCTCTTGATATTAATGTTATTTTAAAACTAGGCATAATTCCAATCTTTAAAGATAGTGGGAACTGCCGATGCTGGAGAATCTGAGATAACAAGGTGTAGAGCTGGATGAACACAGCAGGCCAAGCAGCATCAGAGGAGCAGGAAAACTGA